GGGGGGTAAATGTTAGCACATGGTGATGTGATCCAGCAGGAACGTCTCAGCCGCCTAGTGCGTGGGAAATATGGCCTTCTTGAACATTTTCCCAGGAAGCCAGTTGGCGCACGTGGGGGAGGTCTAGACCGCCCAGCGCCCAGAGCCCAGCGCCAGACGACCGTTCATGGTACGGACCCCCGAGCACAGCCGGGGCCATCCATCACGACGACGGCCTCCCCTGGTATCCCCAGCTGATAACGGCAGACATCCAGATTGGCCCCTACACCCCGGCTCAACCATTTTCTTGGGAGGGGGGCCCTGTCAGCCGCGACGGAGCTCCCTAGTGGGTGGCAGCAGATGGGACGCCCGCTCGCGCCGCAAGACGAAAAAATAACTCATAGCGTCCTGCGGCCCTAGGGTAGGCAGCGGGCAGGTCGAGTCGAGTGGGGAGGGGGCAAGCCAAACTGTGTCGTCGTTACCAAACACGGCCTAGCCCAACGCCGGGCGCTGAAATAAACCACTGCGACCCCGAGGTCCTTGGACGGGCAGTGTAGCAAAAAGGGGGCCTAGACGAAAGCCCCCGATGGGATGAGATGAAATGAGATGGAGGAGTGGTAAGCTTTGATGGGCAGGGCAGGGAGGTCTCGAGCCCGTGGTTTCTGTAGCCAGGGTAGGGGGTAGTGGTGTGGTGTATGGAGGATGCACAGGCCAGGCAGTACCTAGCGTTGGTTGCAAACGGCGGGGCTGCCTCCTGCAGAAAAGCCTGGGGGAACAAGCTTTGCAAGCTTTCAGGACAAGATGAGATGGCGTGTGATGATTCTTGGCTTGTGTGGTGCGTGCTGAAGTGGTGGTGGGGGTGTTTTGCCAGCAGGGGTATGTGTCTCGCCCAGCCTGACCTGGGCAGGGGGGAGGTCGTGTTTACAAGACAAGGAACGGCAGATCTAAACCATCAATACGGACGAGGCAGCGTTACTCGGGCAGCCGGATAGACAGCACGCCGCTGCCAGGCCGCGCGCAGGTACTAGTAAAAACCTCAGATGACAGGGATTTCCAGGGCCCGGCGAAGCGTCGAGGAGGATCGGAGGAAGAGCCTGTTTAATTCCAGTTGCAGATGCGGCTGCGAGAGCGCATGTGATTGTGCGAACCCAAACGCGCGGACTTTGCCGCAGCCGGGGAACTTTTTCGAGCCCAATTTAGGAGACCCTAAGCAGAAATAACAAAAGAAGATGATAAAAATGAACCGTCAAGGCACAAAACATATTCTCAACTGGCCCATCATTTACGTTACCTCGATGGACCCATAACTTTTGTCTTCTGTTTACCTCGAATCAGCACTGAGATTGAAGGCCACGCTCGAGACTTCCCCGACTGCCGCATTCGGGAACGTGCTCCCCCCATTTTAAACCCCTGTCGCGGCCCAAACGTTGTTGCGTCGCTCCCAGTCGTTGTGGGAAGCGCACGTTTGGGGAATTTATGTTTGGAACGAGAAAAACAAATGCCCAAAACAGATCTGCCCGCCCGCGCTCCGCTGTGAATGGCAAGGGCGGTCAAACACCAGCATAATCCAAAACAAAAAGGTGATGACAGATGTTGGAAACGCCTCGAGCGTCCTAGTCGAGCTGATCCACCATCCGGCCGTTGCTACCCTAAACCGCTCTGTTCGCAGTGCCCTCGGCTTTGGCCCCGTCCTCCTGGCTGACGGCGGCGCACCAGCCAAACTCGTCCTTGACCTTGCCCAGCTGGATGCCCTTGAGCTGTGCCAGGAGCCTGAGGCAGAGCGGGCCGGCGTCGTCTTGCGACGCGGGGATGTACGTCACCGTCTCCTCGCCCGTCGCGACCTCGAGGCGCGTGTGCTGCTTGACCTGCGCTGCCAGGGACTTGGGGTCCGAGTCGGCCATCCTGCGCGTGATGGACCGGATGGGCACCAGCGCCGCCGCGGTCCCTGCCGCCATGATTTCCGAGAAGTTGGGCAGCTCCGTGTATTTTATCTGTTCGGTCACGGCCGTGAGTCCACGTCAGTCCCCTTCGGTCCAGCCTAGCTCCCCGCTCGGGGGTCGGATTGGGTTTGCGCCGGGCCGTTTTAATGCAGTCCCTAGAACCACTAACCTGCCGCTTCTCGACCTTCCAGCCGAAGCTCCTGCCAATCTGTTGGACGCTCTCGCTCGTCACGCTGTCAATGACGTTCTTGGAGTCAGGCACCACGAGAGTCACGCCGCCCTGCCCATCTTCGAGTGCACCAATAAAGCCGCTTGTCGAGAACTCGTCCACCTCCTCGCGCGTGGCCGAGTCTAGGTGCAGCGTGATGCCGTACCCCTCGGCCCTGGCCTTGTCGCTCCACCTCAGCACGGGCGCGTAGTTGCCGCCCACCTTTGCGCTGCCCGTGCCGTTGGGCGCCGCGCGGTCGAACTCGTCCAGGATCAGGGCCTTGACCGGGTGCGTGCCGTGGTAGACGCCAGTGGGCAGCACGTAGACGGCGAAGGTGTACTCCTCGGGCGCGCTCAGCCCCAGCTGCGCCGAGGAGCCGTAGATCTGGGGGCGGATGTACATGGCGGCGCCCGTATCGTGTGGCGGCACGAACTCGGCGTTAAGCGATACGGCCGCCTTGACAGCGTCGAGGAACAGGCTGGTCGGCACGGGCGGGATCGAGATGAACTCGGCCGAGTGCTGCATGCGCACGGCGTTGCGGTCCGGCCGGAAGATCTGGATGGCCTGGTCGCCGGGCGCGCGGAAGGCCTTGAGCCCCTCGTATGCCTGCTGCCCGTAGTTGAGGGCGGGCGCCATGCCATGGATGCGGATGAAGGGGTCCGTCACCCAGCGCAGCGGCGACCACCGGCCCGTCTTCTTGGAGTAGTGCGATTCGATGTGGCCGTTGACTGCGCACGGCCACCGCGACGTCAGCAGGCGATTGCGCCATGTGCCGTGGCTTTGTGTGCGCCTCTACTGACCTTCTCGAACCAGGAAACCAACGTTGGACCAGTCAATGGTGTTGACCGGCGGGGGAGGAAAGGAGGCCATCGTGGATGCCGGGATCGGAGCCAGTCGTTGGAAGTCGTTGGAACACTTGGGCAGACGGACAAGAGGACGCGGAGTAGACACACGGGACTGGCAAGCTGCTCGAGGTAACCATCTACTGTGTATCAGCACAAGTACCACCCGAGGACACCCTTCCAGAAAAGGTGAAGAGAAATGGTGTCGGGGAGACTTGAAGGAGGATGACTCCAACGCTTGGCTCCAGAGTTCTGGCTCCACGCATTCAGTCAGCGCCCACACAAAAATGGAACAACGGCCACAAGGTGCGCCGCAAAATTTCCCACGCTAGCGGCCGAGATCGCAATGGCGGGGCAGCCGAACCAGGAGGAATGGAGCTGGTGTTGCGCCTGCCAAGACGGGAGTTGGCGAGCAGACCCTTCCCGACACATCCATGTCGATTAGCCAATGGACAGCTGCTGACAAGAGGGTAATGGATGGCCTACTATTCGAATAACGCTGATTAATTCCATGGCTATCAGGTATCCAACACATCCTGTTGGCCACCATTCCTGATCTGTCTGTATATTCCCATGTCTCCTTCGGCTTCCTACATGGTTTCGTGTTGTTGGAACTCCACCCATGTTTATAAAACCACAAAAAGAAATTTTTAAGCAATCAAGGAGAAATGCTAAAGTATATTGGGGTTAGTAATGCCAGGAATAAATAAAAGACGTGCAAGTTTAATGGTATTGGGAAGGGATTCGATGGTGGGTGAAGGTTTATATAATACTGCTGCCCTAAGGCTATGCTGGTCCAAGGCCCACGGTTCTCAACCTCGCCTCGCTCCTTCCAGGCCCCCGTCCAGAATGTTATCACCGCGACTACCAAGCACCAAGTGCCAACCAAGCCCGTGGGCTCTCTCTCCCGTTGCCCCACCTCGGCGCACCCATTTTCACGCCTTTTCCTCTCCCACCACCTCTACGAACGCTTAGGTCTGGGTAGGCTTCCGCGACCTCGCTCGTCAGAGCAGGCTTACGTAACTTTGCTCGTTACAACCAGAAACAGACGCAAAGTCGTGCCTTCCTTGTCAGTACACTCATCCATCCATATCCGTCAACCAGGGCCTGCGAGACCATCCAGGAGCCAATATCCTCCTCGGAACTCTCCGCTTTTCCGATCCTCGGCCGCGTGACAAGCTTCCCTTCCCTAACCATACCATCACCCGCACCAGCTTGTAATGGGGATGCCCCATCACGATGCCTAGTTCCGACAAGAAAGAGCGCGCCCTGACGCCTACCCGCCGCTCTAATCCCCGCCTTCTCGCCGACGCCGTGGCTGCTGTCGATTGTCTGACCGATGTCCCAGCCAAAGGAGGGGGTCAGTGGTCGAGAGAAGTCGCGCTCGGTCTTGTCGGCGACCTGTTCGACCTGGGTGATCAGAAGGCCCTCAACCTCACCATGAAGTTTATCGAGCATCTCAAGATGGACAAGACGAACAAGCGAGAGGCAAAGAGAGAGCTGGTCCGACTCAGCGAGGTCGCTAGTTTCTACCAAAGCATCGGGATGACGATTAAGGATCTGGCGCCTGGCCTACACCACCCCGAGTGCGACATTGGTGGCTTTCACATTGACATGATACGGATTCGCGACAACATCTCGCCCTCCCTACCTCTCAACCTATTCAAGATGAGCTCCCAGGACAAAGAGGATCAATCAATGTACTTGGTCTCATTCTTTGGCCGCTTCGCTATTTCCCTTCAGCCGCAGTTTATGCTCGGCTCGGCATTAGTGCCTTATCCTGAGGACTGTGACCAAACTATAAACGCCCAGCTGGCCTCTCATTTCCTGTTCCGGGTCTCCTTCAAGTCGGGAGACGAATCTCGCTCGGGCAGCAACGGGAATGGAATGTCCGTTCACGGGGGTGGGGACCGCGTCGATGGACAAGCTGTTGTCAGGGAAGAGCAGGACGAGCATGTCGAGAAGGACAGGAACGTCAAGAAAAAGGAGCAGAATCAGCCGACAACCACACTGACAGGGCTCCCTAGGGTCGTCTTGGAGCTCGGCCATGTGGTCATTCTCGACGTGCGCGAGAACAACCGAACGCGAACTGGCGCCCACCAGACCCCAACCGGCATGGGACTCTTTGCCGACATGGAGGACAGGGACAAGACGCTGTGGTTGATTCGCACCACCCCGTACATGGCCTGTCCTCGGCCTCGCATCCAGCTTCAAGGTGGAGTGCGCGGGCACATGGGGCAACTTAACCTTGACGGAAGCCACGGGGCTATCCCTCTTGGCAAGAGCATCATTGGCTGGATGAGCATGAATATCCATAAGCAAGCAGGCGTCTTGAAGAGTGGCACTGCCTACAGCAAGGTTGAGTCGATGTTTGAGAGGTTCATGGTCGACCGGGACCAGATTTGAGGCACGTCATCTCGCCAGGGAGGGAGAGGGAGGGTTGCCAAGCAGGTTGAGCTTCTCCGTCGACAGGATGCCATTCTGTGAGGTTATGAGGTTCGGAAGGGAAATGGAATGTCGAGGTCGAGGTGCGCTTTCCTGATAGCGGCCGGCTGGTCGACTCCTCCCCGTTGACGATACCCACGGTGATTGTATGGTAGAATCCAAGCACGCAACACAAGAAGCTGGTATGGGCATTGGCTCAAATAGCCGTAATTCACCTTCAACTGATCACCCGACGCCACCCAGTCACTGCAGGGTGGAGAAAGCATCCACTAGATATAGCAGCAGTCAGCTGAGAGAACATTCGGAGTGGTTCACAGGGCCGTTTTTGCGGCTGGCTGGTGCTGCCGACTAGCCCAGCCCGAGCAAACCCGTCTACTACCTTGAGCCCAACTGCTCCCGTATCCCTTGTGAAAAAAAACCGACAGGCCGACTGGCGCTGGTTTCGCGACATGGGGCCTAGCCGCACTCAAGGGAGATGACTTTCTTTGAATATTCATCACGGGGAATGTGCGGGAAAAAAAGAAAGAAAGGGCACACTATGCGCGGTCATTGCGGGCCAGCGCTCACGCGCGCCGCGTACAGCGGTATTTCTCTTGGGCAGCAGACAGTCCTATCCCAGCAGCGACAAGCGCACTTTTGCACCGGTGATGCAGCATGGCCGCCCTAGCCCGCTGGGGGGCAGGTGTCGACGCGCCCACCCTTGGCGGTCGGAAAAGAACCCTCGAGTCGCGATTGGCGCGAGGCGAGAAGGAGGGGTGGTGGTGCGGCCGCCGGCCTCCCTCGTGTGACAGATGCGGGCTGGCGGGGTAAGGATGGGCAAGGAGGAAGCAAAGAGGAAGCATCAGCAAGCGTGCCACCGCGTGCATATCGCCCGGGGGGGACCAGTGGGCGGCGGGGTTGCAATGCACCTGATGCCTTCGTTTGTGCGACGGGGGAGCTGAACTTGACGAGAGCCTCACAGGCAAAGGTAAAAGGTAAGCACAGAAACGCGGTTGGACGTCTCTCGGCCCATGGCCCGTCCGATCCACCCTTTTCGATCCGCTGCTCGTGCCATACCAGCGAAGAGTAGGAGATTCACGTGTGGTGTGATGGGCGTAGGCAGCCAACAACAGTGGGAAATAGGGCGGAATCCTGGACAGTGGTGTGGGAGCACGACACCTTGGCCGAAACGGTGAAGGGCGTCCTAGTGACAGGACCACAAAGCCTGCCGGCCCGTAGTGTTTAAAGCGCGCAAGGCAGCCATGACAGCAGCGAATGAATGGCGATGGCCAAAAATGGCGGCCGTCCCCTCGGTGCGAGGGCGGTTACTGTGTGTTAGGTCCCCAGTCGGCCGGCAAATATGCTCCCGTTGGACAGATCGGCGACTTTGTCGGACCGTAGCCAAGCAGGGAACCGACGATCCAAGGCCTGCCACGGAAATGATCGCCCCTGGCCAAAGCGCAGATCCCGCGTCTGCGCAGGTTTTTCGAGGGGAAGATTGTCGTTGCGGACGGCGACAATCGTTGCCTGCCAGAACTCGCGAACCACACACCCACACAGCCAGAGGATGCCTTCTCGCCCTCTTCCAATGCAAAGGCAAAGGAAGGGACAGAATCCGGAACTGGCCGTTCAAGCTGGATTACCTAACAGATGATTGGCAGCCCATTTGAGGGACAGTCCACTCAGCCCACGAAGGCTGGGTTTGCCTGGAAGCAAGGAAGATGACGAGACGGCGACGGGCGAGGACAGGCGAAGGCGTGCGAAAGCAAACAAACACCAGACCCTGGTTCTGTGGCGCAACCATGACGTCGGGGGCAACACACGCCAAACAACGTGGGCGCGATGCGAGGGCCACCAACAACGACCGGACAAAACATGAACCGTCTTGGGCGGCAGGGCAGAGGCGATTTAATCCCCTGAGGTGTGCATGGTGTGTGATGGACGATGTGGTGAGCGTCCGTCCCTTCCTTGAAAGGCAAGGGAGGTGGGAGGGCCAAATAGAGCAGAGCTCGGGCGGGCGAGGGGGTTGATAGAGATCGGCCAACGCGCAAACCAGGGGTGAGGGGGCAGGATGTGGTAAAATAGGGATTGGACGAACGAGGGCGAGTGGACGAGATGCCGATCATGACATCGGAGGACAGCTGACCTGGGGGCGCGGCGAGGCTCGGAGGTGTCTCAGGATGAGGGCTTGGTCCGGCGCGGAGGCACCGGAGGAAGCGGACAGGCAACAGGGCAGGGGGGGGCATGGAAGGGAAAAGGAAGAAACACAGGGAAAATGACGCAGCCGTGCATGCTGGTGGCTGGCGGCCGTGGTGGAGTGACTTCCATGTACGGTCTGCATGTGCTAGCGCAAAGTACAGCTTTGTAGCTTGTGGGCTCTGGTGGTCTTCGCTTACGTGGTCCGTCTTGGCGGAAGCAAACCCTTACCTTGTGCTTTTTGTTTGTTGGCTTTACAGTACGGTGCGAGATGTGTCTTTTTTTTTCTTCTTCTTCTCACTACTTCTTCACCTTCTTCCTTTGCGTCGTGTCCTCTGGCTTGCCGTTCGCGAGCCAAGGCTACAGCGGCAATTACCCGGGCAAATAAGGATCACCACTGACCGCTATTTCCACGCTGGATCTTGCTAAGGCGGAGAGAAGAATTGGATCTAACAAAGAACCCAGTGAAGAGCTTTCCCGAATGCAGGTCCCAGGTCCCGGAAGTGGTCATCGTGGCTGGCAGGCTAGCGACAAAGTCGTGCTCCTCCAGCTGCGATGCCTGACAGCCCACCCGTGGCATTAGGGCAGTTCGCGATTCGCGTCCCTCCTGGCCGGGAAGGCCGGGGGAAAAAAAAGACATGGAAAGGTTATGTGGACACGCAGGACGCTGTTGCGTATCTGCGTGTCCCCCCCCCCCTCGCATTTGGCTTTGGTTGGTGGCAGGCTTGTCGATCTCAGCACAGGCCTACATGTACATTAAAGTACATACGCGCGACCGACCCAGTAAAAGAGCTCTGTGGCGTCACTGGCAGCGATCTCTCACTCCCTGGCCTGTGCTGGTATGCCTGCTCTCACTCCCCCGCCTCATTTGGGGGGTTGCCTTCGCACCCTCGCCCTTCTTCTGGAGGGCACAAAGGCATTGGAATGGATGGAGGGTGCGTCGAGGTACCTGCAGAGCCGCCCAGCCGTGAATGTTATTTGCTGCCCGCCTGCCTGCCCGCACCCTCCTCCCCACCTGATTTCACCTCACACGTGCCACCTCTCTCCACACCGAAGGCCGGCTTCGCAGCACCTCACTGGGCGGCCACATCCGAAGCCATTCTCAAAAACAGGTTAGCGTTGCCAGCGCTTGATGGGTCAGCCGGGCGGGTCAAGATGAAATTTCGGGGGTCCACCACGACGCGAGCTGACAGGCGGGCGGCTGGCCGGCTTCTTGCTTGGTCCCTAGGGGTTTTTTTTTTTTTCGTCTTCCCCGTCTTTGGTGAATAGCAAGGAAGGTCCCGCAAACACAGTCGTGCGAGTCACGGACTCACCCTCACACCTGACAAGAAAGAACAATATTCAATCTTCGTTGCTCTCCACTCCAATTAGCTCGCCTTGTTTTCTCAGCGCACCCGGGACGCACGGGAAAGGGGGCCAAGTCCACCGACGCAGCACGCACCGAACCCGTCTGTTCCCTCTAGCCGACCCGAGTCGCTTTGTTTGTGGCGGCCGTGGGCTCCTGTGCCAAACCTTGGGCTACGTGCGCAGGGCACAAGCGCCGATCAATCGTAGGCGACATCGTGGCTGCTGCCCGTAGACCCTCACCGTTGGACGACGCCAACGAGCGCCTAGTAGCACACCGCCGCCGCACTGTACTGTTGTCCCAGACGCCCTCACCCCACCCTCCCGGTTTCCGCAAAGGGGGAGCAGGATCGTTGATCGCGGCATCCAAAACAGGGCAAAACAACCAATCCGCCTGTGCCATGGCCCGTGGTCCCAAGAGCCCCAATCAACAGGGTCCCACCCAAAAAGAACCACACGTCGATGACTGTCGTTCCCAGCCGCCCTCATCATCCCCTCCTCCCACGAGCACACCCCTCCCATCGACACCCCAGCGCACGAGTCTGCCCGCCCAATAATAGACCGTCTCAGGGGCCTACGGGAGCCACCGCCATTCCTGTCGTTGCCCACCCTCCAAGACACCAGACGGGAGCCTTGAGTCGTTTTCGCCAGCGGGTCCGCCGGCAGAGTCCCACGCCCTGTCCTCCACATCCCCCGGCTACCGTACATTTCAAAATACCCATCCTTCCCCCTTTGGGGCGGCAGTGCTTTGACTTCTTTTCCCTCCCTCGAGCCGCCCACAGTCGCCGCTGCAATTATTGCCGCAGTCCCTGACGCCTCCACGATTTCACCTCGCGCAAAAGACGTGAGCGGTGGCAACAATAAGTTTTGGGTGCTTGCATCACTTGTGACGGAGCTTTTATTTTTATTTTTATTTTTTCTTCTTCTCTTTCCCCTCTCCTGCAGGGCCACCCTACCACCCTGCAACTAATACCTAGCCCTACATAACAACCGGACGCCACCCTCTCGTTGCAGCTCCGTCTTCGTTTCTCATCTTTCTTTATTATCGGCCCCACCGCACACGCCTGTCCACTCGTCAACGGCCTCAAGAGAGGCGCAAGAGTCGGTTAGGTTGAGCTGTGGAGGACGGACCCCAACACACGATCACCCTCTGAATATGGACGGACTCCCAACGCCGGCCACGATGCCCAAGATGGACCGTTCCGACTCATCATCTGGCTCCGAGGTCGACACTCCTCCCCTCGGCCCCACCATCCACGCCCCGGTCCCAATGCGCCCACGGTTGCCGAGCAGGAAAAGCAGCGGCACCATGGTGGTGCCGAGAGACTCGATCGATGCCAGCCAACCTTGCGAAATCGACTTTGAGCCGGGCGATGTCCGAGCCATGAGTCCCAGGAGGACGACCGAAGACATCGAGGCCATGGGGAGAGAGGCCAGAGAGGAGCTCAGGAGGTAAGTTGGCTACGACGGTCCAGCAGTTTTACATCTCGTAACAACAAGGCACATTGGCCTAACGCCCCATCTAGACACGCCAAGGCGCTCCAGGACTCTCTCATCATGATCTTCAACCGCATCGAGGCCGTCAAGGAGGAGCACGACAAGCTGGACAGCAACAACAAGTTCCTGCAAAAGTACATTGGCGACCTCATGAGCACAAGCAAAATCACATCGACTGGCGGTGGGAGGGCCAAGAAATGACGCCAGAGCTGCGAGGCAGCCCTCGCGCCACGATTTCTCCCTGGGCTCCGGGACGATGCTTGGGCGGCCGTTTGCTGAGCCGGTATACGTGCCGCCGCCGCTTCGGCTTGAGCCAGGGATCCACGGGTGGCTGTGTTGCGGACCGAGTCGGACACGACGAGACATTGCGTCATGACGGGGCCGGCATGTCAGCCCATCCTGCAGCTCACGTCGGATGACTTGTGCGACCGGCCCAAGTTGCAATCTGACGACGATCGCCACCGCCGACTCTATCCCATCGAATTACGAACTGGTTCTGGTGAAGGCTCCTGTTCTTGATTGTCGACAAGAACCGATGCCGTAGCTCGCCAGCACCGATTCGCCGCCACCATCCGGCTACTTTATTCCGACTTGCCACAACCCTACCATCTTCCACGAAACACGACATCAATAATCGCACGGGTTCTCGGGGTGAAGAACGCTTTCTGCCACAATCGCCGCCCAAAACAACATTTTATCAATAGATATCACGCGACCCACCCGGGGAAACCACATCGGTCTGGTGCAGTTTATACCCGTATACTATCTTTGGCCCTTTCTTTTACCGGCTGGGTGGAGTTTATTTCTGGGCCGTGCTTGATCTGGCGTGTCCTGCAAGACATTCCATTCTCGGATCAACATCTAGCATGCAACCCCAACATTATGTGGGGGTGTCACGACAGCATTTGCATTTAGGGAGTTTTGGAGGCGTTTATTCACGATTTGTAACACAGGCGTGCATTTTCTTTGGCGGAGTTGTGTTCATTGGGCTATTTCCTACTTTGCGTGTTCGTAAGCAAACAAAAAACTTGACATTGTACGATATGAAATCATCATCAGCCTTGCCGTTGTTGAAATCGCGTGACTATAATCGCATCCAACAGTCTCTATCATGTCCTGCTTCGGCATTCCGGCTTGCATCCGGTACGGGCGCATGATGCGTTCTTGCTCCGTCCCAATCCCAATCCACTGGCTGGACCAAACGTCCCGCATGCCATAACCGTGTTGTCGCTTCGTACCATCTTGGTAGCGAGTGCCTGCTGAAGCCGGCTGCTGCAGGGGCGGCGGCGGATGCGACGTTGTCAGAGTGATGACAGAATTGCCTGATCAGGGGAGGGGGGGGTGCCGCGGGAGGACGGCGGCGGCAGTTTGATTCCGCTCATCTTGTTTTTTTCTCTTTCTGCTGCCAGGAACCCATCGGCGGGTGCTCTGAAGGTGAGATAGACGGGCTAGACCTTGTCTTGACCGTTGGACCGGCAGCCAGTTGCTTCTCCCGCATCACGGTCTTGGTTGGGGGGGGAACATTTTGCTTTTTTTGCGAGTTTATGCGCGATGCATGCTGGGAAGCAATGGGTGGTAATGCACCTCTCCGCCTGATTCGTCGCGATCTTTTTCCACTTCTTTCTTTTTTTCCGGTCGCTTGCATTGGACGAATATCGCATTTCCATGCGCACAGGGATGATGATGAGGTTGCGCCCCACAAATCCAGAATCCCGTTGGACGTTTGTTTGTTGGAGCAACCCTGGGGTTGGCGTGACGTCACATGGCTGGCGCCTTGCCTGCCCCGAGCGAAGCGAGCGGCAGGAACAAAAAAAGCACGGGGCAACCAAACCTGAAGTCGGCATGGCCCAAGCCGCCCCCCCAACATGCATCAGCCGACTCAGAGGCCGACTCGCTCGCCGCCATCCACGGAATCTTCCAGGTGTGTTGATGGTTTTCACAACGACCTGCCAGTCTTCTCTCCCTTGGGGGTCACCCCCTCCCCCAGCTCGATGCGTCCCGATCGTCCCTGTCCGTCTCCGGGGGTCTGCGGTCGGAGTTTATTCTTCCGCAATGACCCTGTTTAGCGTACTTGTCAAAACTCTTTAGCTGGCCGCTACTGCAGCTGGACTGCCGGGTCCTTTGTGGTGCATTTCCCACATGTCTTCATGGCCCTGACGGACGACAGCTGAGGGTCCTCCGGGGTTCGACTGTTCCTTCACTCTCCCCTTCCCAATCCGCCTCACCATCCGGCCAGCCAAAGCATCGTCGTGTCGTATTCGCCCGCGCACTACTGCAGCTTCATTGACCCAATTAGTTCCGTCGCATGCCCCAGTTCGATGCAATAAAACCCAAGGCCAATAAAACCAAACCAATCCGCAACGCCGGTCAGCGTACATACTGCTCGAGTCATGCATGCTTGACTTCGTCGTGGGTCTGACAGCCGAGCTGGGCGTCGCATTTTAGGGGACCACACAACTTCCAAATGGCGGGACGATGACCATTGAGGAGTGGTGGGAGGCAGGGGAGTCCCTCGCACGTCCAACGTCTCCATTGATGCAACCCCAGAAAACTTGGTCCCTGCAGAAAGCCGAACCAGGCAGGGGATTTTAGGGATCTGGCTTTTGTTCCTTGGATTTTTGCTTTCCCCGATTTCTGACCACCAACCCCTTGCCTCAACTGCCTTGCCCCTCCCCGCCTGCGCCATCAAGGAAAAAAAACCTGGAAGTTGTCGTGCGGAGAGATAGGAAATAGGCCCGGCGTATGGGAACAACAGGGCCAATTTCGGGATGCGACCTAGTTGGCGGTTCAGCAAATCCCACGCCGGTCGATTTCCGCCGCCTGTTTTATCCACACCTCTTATTGACACACATTTCATACCTAGGTAGGTAGTTATCTAGGTAGTCTTCTCAGTGGGGAGCCTCGCTGCCGGCAACCAGGATCTGTCGCATGTGGCCCCGGGCCCATAGCTTGAGCATGGGCCATGGGGAAGCCAGAACAAGGGGTGAACGTGGGCGAGGCCCAGCGGAGGCCGGAGGCCCTACCCTACCCTGCCCATCACCGTCACCCTTGTGGTCGATGGTGGATGGCGGATGGCTATGACGCGCTCGGACTCGGCATTCCCCCATTTCCGGCGCCATCGTGTGACTTTGCTCCCTCAACAAATCCCGAACTATCCTCCGATACGGGGCTCTCCCCGACTCGTGGCTGCACATTGGGTATACTCACTGCGCTTCCCTCTTTGGGGATCAAAGCCGACGGCAACAGCGCCAGCGGAGGTGCTTCGCCTCCAAACACAGGTGTCACGATGCCTCCTGCGCCCCCGTGACTCGCGCCGCCACAGCTCGCACACCCCGAAGGAGGCCGGCGAGCCCATTGGGTCTTTCTGATTTTCCCCCTCCCTCAACGCCCCTCGCTGTGCTGTCTGGCCGGAGCTGCTTCCGCCCCTGTCGGGGGCCGGCTTTCACCGCCTGGTTCTGGACCGCACTTGACAACTCGGGGCTAAGCCCACCTCACCACTAGAAAAGGTCCGACGGTTCTGCGTACCGGGATGGTGATGCACCAGCTTTCCTCACCGTGATGTCCTGCCCACGGTTGACTGGCTGTATTCTGGCCAGAAATATTGCTGCCTCTAATATCCTACACTATATGGTCTAAACACGGGCATAGTATGCTGCCAAGCGTCGCGTCAGCCAGCTGCTGTCGACGTTGCCGACGATGGTCATCATACGCTTCGTATATTCATCATCGTCGAGCCAATATCGCTCGCTGAGAAGTGCGAGCGGCTTCCCCCGAGGCCACCATTTTCATCACTCACCCCTTCAAGCCCTCAGCTGATGCACCCAAAATACCTGCCTTGTCGGGCCTTCCCTCTCGGCGTCCACCGTCGAAGCCCCGCCCTGCCTGCTCAACTTCCCTGTTTTTTCTCATGACCCCGTCATGCCCGCTCACACGTCTGCCGCCGCCACCCCCCCTCTTCCACACCCCTGCGACGGCGGCATCCTTTCTCGGGGACATGGCAAGTGCCTTGACCGGAGCTAGCTGCCAATTTCGGCTTGTACCTCGAGGTATCGCGAAGTACCTGGCTTGAGACTATGGAGCGTGCGTCCGGGCTGCCCCGTGGCCATCTCCATAGGTCCCCTCGCCCGCCTTGTGGGTTTGGGCGGAGGGTGGGTCGCAGGTTGCTTGATAGCACTTCTGGCATGGGCTCGCGCTGATTGCCTCTCGGAGTCGGGGGTCGGGACTCGGGGGTTGGTATTTGTCCGGTCCGGGCAGTGCTCTCGCTCGCCGGTTTGGCCTTGGGGTGGGGCCGCGCCACATAGCCACTCGGGATTTGCCCTGAAGAGCGTTTCCAGGGGCCACCGACATCTGCCAGCTGGGGCCGAAGCTGGCGCGGGCACGTCAAGGTGCGCGTCAAGTATCAACAAACCCCTCAGACCAGCCATAAATCTCGGATATCTGCCTTATTTAGCACTGCCGGCTCCGGCCCATCCCACAGGGCGCCCATGCCGATGCGGCGATATTCGGGTAATCCGCCCTCGCCGCCCTCAACCCGCCGCACCAGAACGACGCAGTGCGCCGGCTGCCAGCGGAAGAACAGCCCGCGGTCTATGGGCCCGTCGAGCGCTCGGGAGCTGAGCACGTGCAGCGCGAGCGTCTCTCCGCCGTCTGCAAAGTCACGCTGGTTCTGGAAGCCGGCGTCCTCGAAGCTGGCCCAGCCGCACACGTGGCGCGTGCTCAGGATGGTGCCGCCGCCGCTGGCGGGTGGTGCCAGAGATACCTTCCGGAGGCCAACCCCATCGGTCGTGGCGTATGAGATGGGGACCGGCAGGCGGTCGAGCTCGTGGGGGGTATACTTCTCCCACGCAGTGACGGCTAGCGCGCGGCACCTCAGGCGGATGCGCGTGATGGCCGCGTCGGCCTCGGCGTGCGTGCGGACAACGTCCGGCCCGACAGTGGAGCTTTTATCACCAATTTCTAGGACTTCGCACAGGTTGCTCACTTCCCGAAAACCCCTGAGTATCTTCCACGTCACGGGGCCCTGAAATGACGCCCAGGACCACGAGGGCATGTTTCTGATCCTGGCGGTGGCGCCCGGGAGCGGCCTGTGCTTCTGCTGCCACAGCAGGCTCTGGTGCAGGTTGCTCAGCCACAGCCCGGAGGCGTACAGATCGTGGCCGGGCGTGGCGAGCTGGGCCCTTCGAGCCAGCGAGAACTCGGCCAGCACGCCCGAGAGGGCGAGCAGGCGGTCCTTGGCCGGGAAGCTGAGCTCGAGCGCCGAGTAGGTCTCGACGAGGTCCCACCAAAGGCGCCCGTGCTCCTGCCCCGCGGTCGAGAAATCGACAAGGGCCTTGAGCGCAAACTCGTCGCTTGCGACTCTCCCGGCCGGCCACGCGAGGCACTCACCGTACGAGTTGCGGGGCTGGTCGCTCTGGCACTCTAGGTAGACGCCCAGCCCGGCGAAGTACACGATGCGCCGGCTGAGCATCCACTCCTGGAACATCCAGCCGCGGCTCATCAGCGCGCTGTCGCGCACCTCGGCCTCGAAGCGCGGCGCCACGGGGCTCCGCGGGGAAGACGTAGAACTCGCCCCGCGGGGCCCCAACGCGATCGCGGAAGGGTAGGCGTACTAGCCCCCTCCCGAACTGCCTGCTGCTCGTCCGGCCTGGTTCAAACAGCCCGCCGCCTTCGGCTGCCGCGGCTAGCGTCGCCAGCGAGTCCTGGTAGTAGCCCGCCATGCGGCCGGCCTCGCGCGCCCAGTCGTCCGAGCCCCCCTCGCCCTGGATGATGCATAACGAGTCGATCCACAGGTGGCGGACGCCCAGGCGGCGGGCGACGTCGACGGCGTCCCGGAACGTCTTGGGCAGCCCCGAGGCGGAGAAGCCGTCGGCCCGGGCCGCGCGGTTGAGCGCCGTGGTCTGCGAGAGCGCCGTGTCGGCTCCCCAGCGGTGGCTGAGCGTCGCGTAAGCGCCCGTCTGCCCGGCCGTGTCGGCCAGGCGCAGGGCGTCGCCGTCGCCAAGGGAGCCGACGTCGACGCAGCGCGTAGGGAGCGGGCTGCGCCTGGCGTCGGGCAGCTCGCCGCCCGACAGGGAGCGGCGGCAGCGCTCGTGGCCGCGGCTGCAGGCGTCGAGCCAGTGGCGCACCTCGCGCGCGAAGGTTGTGGACTGCGGGTCGTGTCCGACGTAGCGGCCCGACACTGCCCCGGACGTCCCCGCGTCGCTTTCTGACACGCCCCAGTTAGAATGGGGGAGAAGATTGACGCCCCCCTAGCGCCAATGTCGTCAAGCTTCAAGGGGGAGGATGCGCGCCAGCCGCGTTCCGCCTGCATACCTGGATCAGCGCATACGTTGAGCGTCGCCTGCGACCCCGCAACCGGCTCCAGACCGTCGGCTAGGTACATCGCCGGCGCAAGGAACACGCGCAGGCCATTGATGAGAAGGGCGCCGTCCCGCTGGTGGTCACCGTTTCCGGTGTGCGGCTCAGAGATGGCTTGGATGTATATGCGCATCTGTCGCTCGGATTCGGGGTGTAGCTGGCCCTTGCGGACAGAGGTAACCAGCGGCGAGCAAAAGCGGCACCCCTCTGCGACGTTCTGGCGGGCAATCGTCAGGTCGAGGTTGCCGGTGCGTCCGGGGAGACGGGTCAGCTCGTAGAGGCTGAATCCCTGGCAGAGGCGACAGAGATCCATCGCTTGTCCTTTGGCTGCCTCGGTGACCTTCCATGGTCGCCGTGGGCGTGTGGGAACATGTCCAAACTAGCCGAGGCTGTGCTTATGATCATGGATGGCTCATTTGGATCCAGCAAGCCGTTTTGGCTAGGAGCGGGGTGACTCGAAGCTTGACGCCTAGCCGCCTTGTTTTGCGACACGCCAGTGTTACGGACGGAAAGCGGCTTGCCAAGGGAGCGACGTGTATTGGAGGAATCCAAAAGCTGTGCAACCCCAACGCGCGGCGGCGCGTCGTACCGTGACGTCAAGACAGGGCGGCCTCTCGGGACGGGCCGTGATTAGAAATAACCCTGGTCCCTTATGTCCTCATGACATATCTGCTTCGGCTTTGGACTTGCCTTCCACGAACGAATACTCCAAAATATCGACCCAAATCTCGGCACCCAAATATCTCTCCCCGCATAGCCGATCCCATCGCGTCCGCAACAAACATGTCCCGGTCGCTGCCGCCGCCCTCGGCCTCGCCTTCCTGCTGGTCTGGCCGGAGCTGCTGGCCACGCGCCTCTCGCTCGCGGCCGACCGCGGCATGGACTCGAAGCGCGCGTGGGCCTACGCCGGCCTGGCCCTCTACGCCGCCGGCCTGCTCTCGCTGATTGTCGGCATCGCGACCCCGTGGTCGCTGTTGCAGCCGCCCGGTTTCGACTCGTTCGGCTCGATGGACGGCGGCTTCGCGGGCCTCATCCTCCGCGGGCCCGCGTGTCTCGCGCTCTTCGAGACCCTGCTGGCCGGCCTCACGCTCCCGTACGTCCGCCTGCGGAACCTGCGCGGCCTGGCCCGCGGGAATGACGTGTACCCCGCCGTCAACGGGCCCGCGCTGGTGCAGCAGCCCTATTCCGACGAAAACGAGGAGGCTCGACAGGAGGGGTTGGGGGTGGCATACCAGGATCGCGGATCGCTGGGAGATATTTTTGCTTTCCAGGCTCTAGAGGAGGCTCGACATGAGGAAGGCTCGGGCAGGGCTTGAAGCAGCTTCGGGTCGGAACAATAATGTATCGCGACAAGCAGCCACTCCCACGACCCTCACCTCATCACATCACCCAAACAACTCTTTCCCGAGAGAGGCTACTCATTTCTGGGGGCTTCAGTTGGGCCGCAGCCTTTGGGACATGCCCGGATGGCACCATCAATCAGATGCTGCGCGACAGCCTTTGACTTGGGCCGCGTTGCATCTCGTATTGCAGGCCGCCTTATCGCAAGGCGGGCGTCGTCTTGCTTCTCTCTGGCATCTTCAATGCTGACCCATTCCTGCATTGGTGCGGCAGTGAGATACGGCCTTGTGACCTCCATGTCGAGATACATTATTGGCAACACCCTTTGCTGGCTTGACAGCTCTGGAGCCCGACCCCGGAAAGTATAGGGGTCCTGGCTTGGCGGCGTTGCTGCATGCTTGCTTTCCGGACATCCGCGCTATGCGCAACTGGCGTCAATACTTTCCGGGTAGCCATGTGGTCGAAACAGCTTCGGATTTCTGCGGCGTGGGCATGTTTTATTGGCTCTTTGCGCCTCCATCCCAGGCCATGCTGCCATCCACTGCAGCCTCATACCATGTTGTCTGCTCCCCGGCCCCGCATTCCCCCGCACGTATTGGGACATGTTGCATTTTCGCCATGTGCGAGATGAGTTTCCGTCGCGCTCGTGGCCTCGATCATGTGGATGGACGGCACCCGCGCCGCGCATGAGAGTCCAAGGGAGCGAGAGGCAGCCGCAATCTCTGTCTTTCCACACGCTCGTTGCTCGTTTCGGCCCAGGGTGCTTGAAGTAGCCGGCAAGGAATTTGGACGGCTGCTTCCTGCCCGACCTGCCCCGCGCCCAACTGCCGTCGACGTGTTCCAATGACTGTCCTCAACCTGCAGGAGCCGGAGCCGGGCGCAGGCCTAGCTTGGGTCCCCAACTTGGAGCCCGGCCTAGGTGCCTCTCTTGGGTTGCCTCGCATATTCGCGAATTTGACGGGAGGGAGGTTGATTAGCAAAGGTTCAGGATATGCCCTTCCCATCCGAGGAGTCTCCCGCGATTACGCGAAGGCCAGAGGGTAGTCGCTAGAGGGAGGGTGCGATGGAAGTGTCTCCCTGCAAGAATTGGACCCTTAACCTTATAGTGACCATCTCCCCCAATCCAACTCGCCCAGAAAGCCTAGTAGCCCTCGCATATCATCTTGCCTTCACAGACCACAGTTTTCCGTTCTCATCAAATAATCCACACACTCTGCAATCAACCACCCAATATGACGTCTTCTAACGACACCTACACCATTGGCTGGATCTCGGCCTTGCCCACCGAGCTGACTGCTGCGAAGTTCTTCCTCGATACAACCCCCTCCCTCCCCGAAGCCGTCGACATTCATGACACCAATTCCTACGTCCTGGGGAAGATGGGCCGCCACAACGTTGTGATCGCCTGCTTGCCTGATGGAGAGTACGGAACAACGGCCGCTTCTGTCGTGGCTGCGAATATGCTACGCAGCTTTCCCAACATCCGTTTCGGCTTGATGGTCGGCATCGGAGGCGGCGCGCCATCCGAGAAGAACAACATGCATCTCGGCGATATTGCTGTCAGCAGTCCCGGTAACGGGTATGGCGGCGTGCTCCAGTACGATTTCGGAAAGTCGATCCAGGACCGGACATTTACCATGACGGGGTATTTGAACCAGCCACCACAGGCCCTCCGGACGGCAGTGGCCATTCTGAAGTCCGAGCACGAGGCGTACGGCCACCGTTACGAAGCCCAGATCGCCGAGCATTTGGATGAGAGCCGTCTGACGAAGGCGGCGCGCGCGAAGTACTCCCGTCCAGATGCCACGAGCGATAGGCTGTATCGACCCCTCTACGTGCACGGCAAGGACGAGGCGAGCTGCGGCAAGTGCGGTGACGACCCGAATCATCTAGTTCCGCGACCAAAACGAGAGGAGCCTGAAGACGGGCAAGACTTCGCCGTCATCCATTACGGACTAATAGCCAGCGCCAATCAGCTAATGAAGGACGCTACGGTCCGCGATGGGCTGGCGAGGGACAAGGGCGTCCTTTGCTTTGAAATGGAGGCGGCCGGCCTGATGAACAATTTCCCCTGCCTCGTCATTCGGGGTATTTGCGATTATTCGGATTCCCACAAGAATAAGGGCTGGCAAGGGTTTGCTGCAATGATGGCTGCCGCGTACGCCAAAGAGTTGCTGCTTCAGATTGCGCCTGGCCAAGTTGAGGGGGAGAAGACGGCCAACGAGGTTCTTGGTGTGGGCAAGTGATTTCGGCCCGGCTTTCCCTCTGCTCCGTAGATGTTCATCTACTTACTTATCTGTGGCGGCGAGATAGTGACGAGAATCGAAAAGGGAGTCGACTTGTTGCAGCAGCATGCGCAAGACACAAATGATACGCTCGCATCCCTCAAGTCCCAGTCCAGCATCGCCAAACTAAAGGAGTGGCTATCTCCTGCCGATTCATCCACGAACATCAACCGTGCAAGGGAACTCCGCCATCCCGGAACTGGCGACTGGATCTTGGGAGTGGCCAAGTTCCAGGAGTGGTTCCCTGGATCACACCGCCGACACTTGTGGTTGTATGGCCTTGTGGGATGCGGGAAAACGGTCCTCAGTGCCAGAATCATCGACCACCTCGCGGGTCGTATCGTCCTCACCTTCTTCTTCGACTTTAGCGATTCCAAAAAGCGAACGACCGACGCCATGCTGAGGTCGCTGGTTTTCCAGGCATACACTCATCAACTTCGCATCGGCAAAGATCCTGAAGGGATTCTCCAGGTTTCTGAAGACCAACCGTCCAATACCACCTTGTGGGAGAGCTTGTGCAAGATGCTCATCAATTTGGGGGAGGTCGTCATTCTCTTGGACGCACTGGACGAGTCGACAACCAGAAGCAAATTGATCGATTGGGTCAAGGACGCAGTCGGAATGCGCGAGCTAGAGCGTGTCCGCTTGATCTTCACCAGTCGACCAGAATCCGAATTCCACCAGCACATCCCTTCGATTATTGGCGAGGATAACTGCCTGCCACTCGACGAAACTGCCATCAACCGCGATATCTGCTCCTACGTCCAAGCAAAACTCATCAACGACATATCTTTCAGCAAGAAGGTGCCTGCCGGTGGAGACCTGTCCCGGAATATTGGCCGCGTGGTTGGGGAGGATGCTGGCCCAATGTAAGTCCCTGCCCACGCGTGCCAAAAGCACCTCAACCGTCAGCTAACACCTGTCCAGGTTCCTCTTGGCCTCCTGCCACGTGGAGGAATTGTCCAAGTGCACAAACCCCAGGGCTATTCGGGACTGCCTCCAAAGACTGCCGAAGGACCTTACGCAGATGTACGATCGCGTCATGGAGAACATTCCGCCGCAACTTAAGCAAGATGCCATGCGTCTCCTGCTATTTATAGTCAACTCCGGGAGACCTCTCAGAGTGGGAGAAGCGGGAGATGTGATCGCTACACAGGCCGAAACGGAGCCTCGAGATTTCGACCCCGAGCGCAGACCGTTCAACGCGCATGCCCTCCTCGAATACTGCCCCAGTCTGCTTAGGCTCGAAACCGACCAAATTCAGGGTGAGGCCCTGCAGCTCGCCCATATCTCACTGAAGGACTACCTCGTCGGCCGACCCGATTTCGGGGACCCGGGTGCCAGCATCTCCATAACCTGGACTTGCTTGGCCTATCTTAGGACCATCCAAAGCGACGGGAGCGACATCGACGCCGAGTTTCCGTTCCGAACTGCGGCGTGGGAGTTCTGGAAGCAGCACGGCAGCAGAGCTGAGGTCTCGGATGAAATTGTCGAGGAGTCGGTTAGGCTGCTGCAGGCGAGGGCCACGGCGCCCGTGCTCAAGGAGGTCACGAGACTCCACGGGTTCGACAGTCCGTCGCCACTTATCGCGGCCTGCGCCGGTGGATTCCCAAGGACGATCGAGCGTCTGGTGGAGATGCGGTCCGACCCATTCTCGCTCCGCGATGCTCTAGTGACGGCGTCACAACACGGCCATGGTGATATTGTGCGGCTGCTGCTAGATATGGAGAAGCCTCTTTCGCCATTTACCCTTAGGCTAGCCCTTAGGTCCGCATCGATGCGAGGGCATGAAGATATCGTGCGGTTGCTATTGCAGGCGAGAGGGCTTCGTGGTCCGGAGACTCTTTCAAGCGCCCTGTGCGTCGCATCGAAAAACCGTCGCCGCGAAGGGGTAGTGCGGCTGCTGCTGCTAAAGGCAGAAGAGTTCCCTTGCCCGATAGATGTTTCAAACGCCATTTGCATCGCATCGGCAGAGGGAAACGAGAAGATTTTGCGGTTGCTGCTGGCGGTGGAGGGGCCTCTTCACCAAGGTGCGATTTTGACAGCCCTCTGCTACGCATCTGCCCAAGGCCACGAAAATGTTGTGCGGTTACTGCTGGAGACGCAGCAGCACTTTCAGACAGAGGCGCTTACAGAAGCCATTGGCATCGCATGGGCCAACAGTCACCAAGGTGTCGCGCGACTGCTGCTGGAGGCCAGAAATAGGGCAGAGGAGCTGGCATTTTTCCGCGACATGGAGAGCCCTCAGGCGTGTGAGACCAAAATCAAGACAGGAAAAGTCACAACGGAAAAAGTCACAACGGAAAAAGTCACAACGGAAAAAGGTACAGGGGTAAAAGGGCAACCGGGGAAGGGCAAAACGGGAAAAGCTGACGATAAATTCTCCGATGTAATTCGTGCCGCCCAGAAGTTCAGCCAGCGCCTCGTGCAGAAGTTTGCGTCGTTAGGGTATGGGGAAGTCCCGGACCTGAAGAGGCGAGTGGCTGTTCAGAAGGGGACCAGAAGGACATACTTCGACGGTGACGGATTTTTAACTTTTAAGCCGTAGATGTTGCACAAGTACGCTCGCTCAATGCATCGGTTTTTTTCCCAACTGTCCCTAATATTTCGGCAACATCGATTTTAAACCCGAATTTCCTGCTCCTCGCGTCAGTACGGCTATCGTGTTGATGCAGGTGGTATAGCGCCGCTTGACGACCAATGGCGGGATAGCGAATGTGCTCGAGCTTTTCATTCGTGCCTCTGGTAATCTGGGAAAGACTATGGTGGTACTGGGGTTAATATAACCGTTTTGTCGGCAAAAGGCTCCCGCGATTGCCATGAGTCCGGGTGCTTGGTTCAAATCCAGGGGGCTTTAGCAAGAAAAAAAAAGATAGAAGCGTGAGTGGCTGGCAAAAATGCTTCTAATAAATTGAAGTGGTAAAGGGGTGAGGGCAAGTGGAAACCGAGGTGCCGGTGCACTTTAGGCGGATGCCGATATCACCAACGTCGGTAGTATACGGTGCATCGAGCGCCAATATATGAGATTGAACACGTTGCTTGACTCCAGAGGTGTGCTGGACCCATGGTTGCTCTCCCGACGTATGCCCAGAGGAGCATTCACATTTCTGTGCTGCATTTAATGCTTTCTCGTTTCTAACCGCCGAAAAAAATTGGTGGCCACTTACTGCACCTGCGAGTTGAATCACGATTGAGACAGCTACATCAATGGCACTCCCATCTTTCCTCCAGGCCTCCCTCCTTGTCTTGGCGGCCCAGCTGTCGAGTGTAGCAGCAGCGTCCAGCCATGGCGACGCGGGCATCGCTCAGGAAGGGGTTCAGGTGCCCATGATACCTAAGTACATGGAGAACCTGACAGAAACGGCAACGTTCCACCCCGAGGGATGGTACACACCCAACATTTGCGAGGGAAAATGGTGCCTCTACTCGAGCCGTGAGGTCGGCAACGGCAGGGGGCTGGTGGTGATCACCAGCCACGACAACTTCCAAAAGATCAGGAGGCTGGAAGTGTTTATGAACAAGATGCAAAGCACCCCAGGCCCAGGCGCACCTGGCGTGCCATTCGAGGCGCGAGAGATGCCATCCTCATCAAAAAGCGACAGCCACGCCGAGTCGCCCTTCGAGCTCGTGGCCACGCAGCCCCTGAAGCGCGGAACCAAGCTTATGGAGCTCATGCCCGTCGTCATGGCGCACAAGACCTTCCTCAACGAGACAGACCGGGCGGCGCAGGACCACCTCCTAGAGGCCGCACTCGCCCTGCTCCCGGACAAGACCCGCGAGATTGCCAGGGCCGGCATGGCCAAGTCCCGACACCCCAGCGCGCGGAGCAGCCTCCGCGACGCACTCCTCCTGCACCCCTTCGAGACGGGCACCGGGGCGACGCACTGGGACGGGCCGGGCCACGGGCGCCACCACGCGCTGTACCCTGAGGCGCTGGCGGCGCGCCACGAGTGCCGCGCCAACGTGGCCTGGCACGTCGGCCCAAACCACGAGCTGCACCTGACGGTGGCGCGCCGGACGACCGACCCGGACGAGCCGCTCTCCTTGTCGTTCCTGAACCCCACCCTCCCCCGCGTCGAGCGCGCCGAAGCCGCGCGCCAGCTCTGGGGTACGGCTTGCAGCTGCGACCACTGCGCGTCGGGCGGCGACCTGGACGCGGTGCGGGCGCGCGACGGGCGCCACGCGGAGCTGGCGGCCATCGAGAAGGAGCTCAAGGACATGGACAGCGCGCGCGTCACGACGGGCATGCTGGAGCACTACGTGGCGCTGCTGGGGCGCGACAACATGCACGCGCGCATGGCCGAGGCGTACGAGCTGGTGGCGTACAACTACGCGTACCTCGGGTTCGAGAAGCAGGCGCGCAAGTACGGCGCCCTCGCGGTCCAGGCCGCCGTCATCGAGCAGGGCGCCGATGCAAACGACGTCACGGCCCTGCGCGTGTTTGCGAACAGCGTGACGGAGCACTACTCGTGGCAGCGCAAGGTCAAGAAGAAGCAGGGCTAGGCCGGGGGTTGGTGTGAGGGATGGGTGAGTGGGGACGTCGGGGGAGGCAGGGTTAGGCTAGTATATTGACGAGGTTCGCGACATTAGCCATGACATGTCCCACCATGAACCAAGTGTCTGGCAGCCTGTCGGCGAAGAGCTCGTGATCAGCAGGTTGACGACAAACCCTCCGAGTTTCTTTCAATGATCCTTCCAAGCCATGGAGCAAAGACATGAAGTGGTTGTTTCTTGCGGGACTCGGCTTCATCAAGGAAAGTCGACCACCGGCGAACCATATCGCAGGCCTGGAAACGGGTATAGTTTGAGGGGAGGTAGAATCCCCACACAATGTATTGAAAAAGCCAAAACCACCCTGCCAATGCTCTAACCCGGGTAAAGTGTTACAATCCTCGGATTCTCCGAGATATTTGTCTAGTCGGCCGATTACCCAAAGAAATCCCATGATTGCGTCGATGGTGCCGCCTGTTTACTCCTCGGCCTCCTCGTCGAACGACTCCGGGGCCTCCTCCTGAGACTCCTCGTCGATCGCAGTGTCGCGGGTGACGATGGCGACGTAGGGGACGTCAGCATCGGGGCTGCGAGCCTCGAGGTTGCCGATGGTGTGCACGTCCTCGCGGCCATAGATCTTGGGCGAATTGCCCTTGATGGCGTCGACGGCCATCTTCCCGCAAAGGATGGCTCCGAGGACGCAGACCGCCGCGCCCTCGCCGACCTTCTTGGCCGCGGCCTTGATGGGGTTGGTGCCCTTGGGCGCCGGGTTGGGCTTGGGCACGGCGATACCTTCGAAGGGGGTGGGAGCTGCCATGGCCGGGGCGCCCGTGACAGCGAAGAGGGCCAGGAGAGCGGTGGCGGTGAACTGCATCTTGGCGGTTGTGAGTTTTGTTTTTGGGTGGAAAGACGAAGATTGAAAGATTTGGGTCAGGAGACGTCGAAAGTCGAGCAGATGCAACAAGTCAGGGCCTAGAAGAGCAAGGCAAGGAGAGCAATGACGGGAGGACGAAAGGAAAAAGACGGAAGGAAAGGTAGCAACGAAAGATGAGGATCGGTGATGGAGAGGAAGGGAAAAGAGCACAATGCAGGTAGAGAGGTAGGCCAATGTTATATATGCTTGGAAAGCAACGGTTGACGATCCGTGCGCCTGGTCCGGAGCGATGACTTGCTATCAAAATCATGACTGCTGAATCGGCATTGCCACGGCCGGTATAGCCGATCCCACGCTGCTAGGTACCTAGATGTGTGCATGTCATGTACCGCCGAGGAAAAAGACCTACCAGAGGCAGTCTTGGCGTTGATGAGACCAAATGGGACATGGGCAGGCATATGTGTGAAAAGGAACGGCTGTGGCGTCTCCTTTCTCGCAAGCGAAAGCTTAACGGCGCTCTAGGGGTTACGTGACATGGCAGTGCTGGGGATATCATACGGGGATGCTGGGCTGATACCATCTGCGAGGGAAAGAAAAAGGAAAAACCCGCCTCCCAACAGGGGGGGTTAAAACTGGAGATCACAAGGGCGGCGAAAGGGGGGTCACGTGCTGGCATAAAGTCACTGCCATTGTTGAAGTTGGTGAAAAAAGGAGAGAAATTGAGAAAAGCTTTCAAAGGACGAGAAATTCTTGAAGTCTCGTGACATCCCCCAAGTCACCACGACCTCTGCGATCTCCAGCTTCAACCCCTTATTAACCCCCTGTTACTAGGTGGGTTTTTCCTTTTTCTTTCCCTCGCAGATGGTACTTGGTAGCCAAATTTAGATCACATTGATCGGAACGAGAGACCCCTTGATCTGATGGACCGGAATTTACCGTAGCCTCAGCCACTTGACTTGCTGTTGTGTTCTTTCAGCGCTCCGCAAGACGCCAAGGGTGCAGACCTGTCACACCGCCATCTGCCCAAGGCTTGTGCATCTCGGTGTTCCCAAAGAGATGGGTCAGTCAAGATAGGTCCCATGTTTGTCCTGATGGGAACGATGGTGCTACCGGTCTAACATGTGCATGGTATTCCGCCTCCCCTTCATGCATCCGACTGGCACTAACCCTCCCTCAGCGCCTCAACGAGCAAAACTCGACCGTCTTGCTGCGCCGCGAACGAGGCGAAGTGATTGCCGTCAATGGCAAGCTGCATTTTCCCTAGCCTTGGCAAATAGGCGTATCGCAAGCCTCGCCCCTGCCCGGTCCCTTTGACTCCTCGGAGACCATGTCGGCAGCAGACGTGGGGGTCTAGGCGCACCGCGCTCAGGCGGGGGGGCATCCCGCGGAGACCCGTGACTGCGGTTGTTGGGAAGGATGACGGCTGTGATGTTTTGTGGGGAAATGGCGGGCGTACCGAAAGAAAGGGTGTGGTGTGCTCGGGGATGCAATAAAAATGGAAGAGATACCGAATGGCATCACCAGTTTGGGCATCACCAATAATCAATTTTCGTGGAGGAAATCACGGGTCAGCCCTAGAACAGCCTACGGGCAAATTTTTAAATTCAAAGTTAAATCATCGCAGGAGGTATTTGGGTTACAAAAAACAAAGGCTTTCATCATGGTAATGCAAAGAACAAGGGAAATTTTAGACATCCGGGGCTCTACCCGGCCTCATGGCAACGACGGCAACGATCCCCCGTCCCCCCTCGGCGGCTCCTTCGGCCCGATGATCCTGTCCCAGGCCGCGTGCATGGCCATCTGCTTGAAATCCGTGTCCTGGTACAGCTGCTCCTTGTACCCCCAGACACTGTGCGTCCGCTTGGCCTCCTCCCAGCCGTCCATGCCGTCGTCGGCGGGCTGGTTGTTAATGTCGCTGTTGGCGCCGCGCGCGCCCATGCCGATGCCCGGCACGTAGGCCCACTGGGCAAAGATGCGCTGGCGGACGCTGTAGACCTTGAGCTCGCCGGTCATGGACATGAGGCTCATGGCCAGGTCCACAGGCTCCTCGAGGTTCCACGCCGTGCGCAGCAGCAGCTTGGCCGCCCCGCGCAGCGTCACGGCGTACGCCGTCGGGCAGGCCATGTGGTACGCGCGGAAGACGGCCCGGCGCTCGCGCGTCTGGGCCGGCAGGTTGTCGAACGGGCCCTTGGCCGCGGGCGCGCGCGGGTCCGCGTAGATGCGGTACGGGTCGCCCTCCCTCCACGTGTCGGAGCAGCCGCCGAGGTGCAGCACGTCCCAGGCGCCGCTGCCCGCCATCCAGGGGTCCGACGGGTCCGGGGGTGCAGCGGCGGCCTGGCCTGTAGCCTCAGCGATCAGGTCGCGGAACGGCCCGTTGAGCGTCGCCATGATCTCCTTGAGCCCGACGTCCCACGCGGCGTCCGACTCGAGCACCATCAGGGCCGGGACGCGGTGCTCGACCATGTGCTGCCAGACGTTTGCGTGCGCGCGGTAGCAGGCCTTCTCGCGAATGTTGAGCCGGGCGGGCTGCTCCGTGGGCGGGAGCCCCTGGTCGCGCAGGTCCTCGGCCCGGACGGCGGGGAAGCGCGTGAGCTCGAGGTCGGTGAGGTAGGCCTGGAGGAAGGCCGCGTCGGCGCGGTCGTGGCGGTGCGGCAGGTTCAGGAACTGGATGGACCCGAAGCCCAGCGTGCGGTTCGACGCGGCCGCCCGCGCGGGCCGCTCCCCCTCGCCGCCCATCCCCTGCTGCCCCGCGACGATGGCATACTGGCTCAGCGGGCGCGTCCTCGACTTGCGCTCCTTGGGCTCGGCGATTTCTGGCGCGTATAATGTGAGGTAGCTGAGGAGGACAAAGAGGACAGCTGCGGATGCGATTAATAGGCCCGAAGACAAGCGCGGAGTCAACCTCGTGGTGGAGGCCCTTTTTGATAACATCGAGAACAAAATATCTATGCCCACGCCACTGCGGATATGGTATTCGGTCGTCAGGAGTAAGGAACAAGCACAGGGTATCTGGTTGCGCCTCTGTTCGATGGATGCAATCAAGCTTGCAATCAAGCTCAACGTGCGTGATTTTTACATGGAAAGAAGGAGTATTTTGGCCAAGCTGCACGACGTCCCGTCGCCAGACAAGCGGCTCGTCCTGTGGCTTTTTTACATGCTGCGCATCTGGCCATCCAGCAGGGGTGCTTGTCAAAACTGACGTAGGTATCCCTACTAGAAGAAACCTTCGTCAACATGCTATGCGACGTGATGTACCGGTCCGGGCGGAGAGTATGGAAGGTAGGCTAGGTGGATGTGACCGATACGGCAATAAAATGGAGCCAGGACAGCTAAAAATGGACTCGCGCTAGCGAAAGAACCTTTGGGCAGGGCTCGGCGTGTTTCTTGTTCTGTGCAGACTTCCAGGTCGGGGCAAGGTGACTGCGTCAGGCACCGTTCCAGGTGTCCAGCCTTGGCTAGTCTGAAAACCTAGCCCACGAGAAGGCAGCATCCCTGGCGTAGTAGCAATGGCACCCAGGAGTTAGGGAAATGGAAAGGGATGGGTTTAAGGTTTGTGTCTGTTTTATAGCACGTTGTACTAATACTAGCGAGCGGTGGCAGGTCTGTGACAAAAATGGGGGGTGGTAGTTTGGGTCGGACTCGATATGGAAATGCGGCTGAGGGCTGCACATGATGACGAGCTTCCAACGAGGAGGAGTCGAGTTACAACGACTCCAACTGGCCCTTGATGCACGACCCGGCTCAGGTGGATACTGTCTGTTGTTGCGGAGAGGGGCAGGCTTGGCTTACACAGTGCCACAGTGCATACCACTGCCATGTGTTTGTGCTTCAGTTTTTGCACGGGTCAAGGCTCATCTCTAAGCAACAACCTGGCCGCTGGATAACCCTGAGCTGTTGGGCTGACGTCTGTCATCCATATGCTACCTTCGGCCCGCGAATTGACAGGTTGCACGCTATATCCACGACCGGACAAGAGAAAAGACAAGCGCAGCCAATCTGACCGCCCAAGACATCAGTGCCGTGTCTCCACAGCCGGAGATCGCTTCCATTCTTGGCATGCCCTGCAGACTGGGTGACTGGTTGGATGCACGCAGCCGTAAATGGATATAATTTTGATCCATGCACCGGCCGAAAAAAAAAATCAAGACCGCAAAAAAGGGGCTCCCATTGCCAAATCAATCAACACCACCAAAAAAAACAGCCAACAACTATAATTTATATACAAATTAATGGGCAGTCATTTTGCCTTCGCTTTTTATTATTGGCGAAAAAATCCGAAATGTTTTGGGCGTATTATGGTGCTTTGGTATGTTGCGATTGGATTGATTAAGTTTGTTTTGATCTTTTTTTGCTATAGAGTTTGGGTGGGGCA